AATATTGGGAAATGTTATTTTTTGAAAAACAAAGGGGAAAGAAGAACCTAAGAATTCCTCAAAAAATAAGAAGTAACACATGTCTTAAGGCCACAATATGAAACAGTAAGAAATAGGAGAATGGAATGTAAGGAACAAGCCACATTCGACGCTGACATTGAGAACACGTCCTACCACTGGCACAGGCGCTGTGGCACTGGGCCCATGAACATGACCACAAGGTAGCTAGGCAGGAAAGAACACTGACGGTGTTTTAATCAAGTCAATGCTTTTGCTTTCCAACTTTTACAGTCAAACTACAGACAGCCTGGGGGTCTCATTTCCTTTCTGTCCTGACACCAGAGAGGGACACAACGGGGAAGCCGGCTGGTTCTAGGGCGGGATACAGAAGCCGGGCCCATCCAGCCCAAGCTTCATGTTGGGAAGTGTGGCTTAAGTATGTTATTTAAAGAATGAGAAGGAACACACAGCACTATCCACACCTGGCAGGAAGAGGAGAAGGGGCAGAGAGGGAGGGCACCAGCCATCGAGACAGCCCTTCCCAGCTCAACAGAGGGGCCTATTCAAACACACTGTTTAGATAAATAGTTCAATCACTTAAAGCTTAGCCTGTCACAGAGACAACAAAACTCAAATGATTTAAAGTGGCTTTCTCCAGAGACTCAGGTGGCATGAATCAGGCTAGTGGTCACCCTTAGGGCTGGGGGAGGCTGGGGAGTGGCAAACGGGGTAGTGGCATTGCTGCTTCCAGAACTGGGTGTGATTAGATGCGAGAGCTCACTTTGCAAAACTGCACTGAGCTGACCTTATATGATCTGGGCACTTTTTGTTTGCCTTTTTAAACTTTTCTTTTTGTAGAGAGCACCCTTTTGCCTGCTGCACTTTCATAACATGCTCACCTGAATCAACAAGACATTTCCCTCTGAGGAGTTGGAATGGGGTTGGGGTGACAAGTCAGGTTCTCTGCCAAGCCTCCTGTGCCCTGTGGCCCTGACAGAATGTATGCACCTCCCACTCGGGCCTGGGGCGTGGGAGTATGGCACTGCCCCTGAAGACGCCCACCAACAAGCCAGACCTGAGGCAGCTCCCCACAAAAAAAAAGACACAATACCAGTATCTGGTTGTCTGAGTTTTTTTGAAACTTCAATTCCATTCTCCTCTGACTTCCTCTTTGCACAGTCCTGGCATGTATTACCTGAAAGAGGAAAACTTCGTAAGAAGCTTGTTTAGTTACAATCCACCCGCCAAGGCAGTTTATAAATATGACCTTCCTGAAGCACTGGCCAAATCAACGTTACCCCATGCTACAGATGACCTCCGCCACATTACTGCTGCTTTCAAAAGAAAACGATGGTTCCAAGAGTCGCATTTAAGAAAGCAACTGTAATAAAGATGTCCTTTCACACGGGAATAGGAGGAAACAGGAAGCTGACTGCGCTGGTTTTATACTTCCTGCCCCACTAACACGGATGCAATGCCAGGGGCTCCCACACCGAAGCGCATTTTCTCATCTGTGAACACACTGGGAGAACGGGGCTGCGCACCGAGGCCTCCGCACCACCGACAAGGGCCCCTTTTACCCAAATGACTCAGCAAGAGGAAAAACACCTGGGGCCCACTTCACACACAGGAGGGCACTCAAAGCCACTGAGTCTTGTTAATTTATAAACAGGCAGAATTGAGCCCAGCAAGAAAAGCGTTCACATTTCAAACGAGTATGAAATACAAAAGCTTCTGTATGAAAGCTCGGACCCCTGAAATGAGAATTTCTCAGGAGCTGGGTAATTCTAAGGCACTGCATCTTGCACCAAATGGTACCACACAAACAGAGCCTGCTGTTCCAAGTCCCCTGTCACTCTTGGTTCTAGGGCAAGAAATTCTTCTCAGGAGCCAGCTGCCCACGTGTGATTCGGCTGTGCTCCCTCCTCAAAGGGATGGCTTGTAGTCTCTTGGTGTGGTAAGGGCCATGCTAAGGCATGCCTATTTATCATCTTCAGTGGGGCTGTCTTAATACAGGCCAAGCATTTAATGTGAAAAACAAACGTTGACGATTTTACAGTTAGTGACAGGAGACAATGGCACGTGTAGGCAAAACACAGGCTGGCAAGAAGGATCTGCTTTACCCAGTAGCGTGGTGCTGTCCACTCGATCAGCATCTGAAGGAGAAAGAAAAGCAGTCAGTGGAGCCGAAACGCCAAAGTTCGTCCTCCTCAGTCCACTCTGAGGCAGTGACTGGGAAGAGGCTTCTGGGAAGCTCAGCCGGTGTGGGCTGTGGGCTCCTGGACTACTGGCTGCCCTTTCTTCTCCACCTCCCAGGCTTGGCATGAGGACTCACTGAAGGAGCCAGGTGGCAGAGAGCATGGCGCGGTGTCCGTGGTCACTAGCATTACTGTCACTATCAGTGGGCCTCCTCCTCCATCAGGAGTGGCACTCCATGAATTCGAGTACAATTGTCCTTCATGACACAGTCACAGATTAAAACTCCCAATGATCTTGCAGTCTTCTGGCAGCTTCAATCCACTTGGCTGCCATGACCTGGAAAGGGAGCTTTGGCAGGACAGAATCTGCTCAGCTCCTCCAGGAGCCCAAACACATGCGGGCTGCCACTGGGTCCGGTACTCCGGGGGGTCTGGGGGTGGAAGGGACAGTGGACAGGGGCAGAGATGAGGAAAGCCTGCTGTCTGCCTCTCTGCAGAGCCACGCATGTGGGCTGGTGCCAGGATGCACCAAATGGTGTTTTTTGCTCTGCAGTCAGGCTAGGATCCCAACCCCAGCTTCAAAATGTCTGGGCACTAACCGGGCACGTTATGAGCCTGTGCCAGCTCGGCCTGTCTTGTCTATGAAATCATCTACCTACCAGCACTGCATGCTGCCACTAAAAGCTAACTAAGGTCAAGAATATGGAACTCCCAGTGGAGGGTAACGCCTTGGCACGCATGAGCTCCCCTCTTCTGCCCTTAATAAGATGCTGTTGCCCTCATTACACTTTCATTCATGGAAATGGAACTTCCTTTGGTCCATTTTGCTAATTAGCCATTCTGAAAAGAAACGATAGTGGTTAAAAAAACAACAAAAACCTTAGCTTTTGGGTTATCTGTGCATTCTCCAGTCTCCAAGTTCATAGCTGGTCACACACCTGCCTCTGTGCCTGGGCTTTCAGTTACAACTCAACAAGAGCCCGCACAGGCCTTTCCAAACTTGACATCAGCAGTGTTTTATGATGCCAGATGTGCAGCTATCAATTCCCTCATGTCTCAATTATCTTGGTCATTCCTGACAGACAAGCAATTTCTCAAAACAAGGGCCAAGAAGCGTTACTTAAAAGAGGTGCTGCATTCAGAACAGGAAAAATATGTTACTTGAAAAAAGAAGTCAAGTCTTCATGAAATCATTTTGTGCTTCTGAAGTCTGAACTTTTCAGCTGCAATGAAGGACACAAACATGAGCTATCTGCCTCTTTCAAGTGTGAAGTATCACAACAGATAAAGCTGGCCTGGTAGTTTCCTTTCCTGGTTAAGGAAACCTGAAGCGTGAATAAATGTGTCCAGGTACACATGTGTGCACAGCTGTAAACCTCAAGGTTACTTTATGTTTTATTTTTAGAGATGGGGTCTTGCTCCAATGCCCAGGCTGGAATGCAGTGGCCTGATCACAGCTTGCTGTAGCCTAGAACGCCTGGGCTCAACCAATCCTCCCACCCGAGCCTCTCAAGTAGCTGGGATCACAGATGTGCACCACCACACCCAGCTAATTTTTTAAAAAATGTTTTTTGTAGAGACCAGGTCTCCCTATGTTGCCCAGGCTGGTCTTAAACTCCTGAGCTCAAGCAATCCTCCTGTCCCAGCCTTCTAAAATGGTGGGATTACAGGCATGAGCCACCAGTCCCAGCCTGGTGTTAAAGTTTAGTTACAGACTTGTCACTGGGACACCAATCACTTCAATCTTCTAATTTTAAATTACAGAGGCAGTTTGAAAAAATAATAACCAGAAGATTGGTGAATTTTATGGGTATGTGAATTACATCAAAAAGAGAGAGAAACAACTAAAAGAGCCCAATGGGTTTCGTACTTGAAAAGTGAAGACAGGCCGGGCGCAGTGGCTCACACCTGTCATCCCGGCACTTTGGGAGGCTGAAGCAGGTGGATCACCTAAGGTCAGGAGTTTGAGACCAGCCTGGCCAACATGCAGAAACACGGTCACTACTAAAAACACAAAATTAGTCGGGCATGGTGGCACATGCCTGTAATCCCAGCTACTTGGAAGGCAGGAGAATCGCTTGAACCCAGGAGGCAGAGGTTGCAGTGAGCCAAGATCATGCTATTGTACTCCAGCCTGGGCAACAGATCGAGACTCAAGTCTCAAAAAAAAAAAAAAAAAAAAAAAAAGTGAAGGCAGAATCTATACCTGGGCTTCGCTGTCTGCAGATCTGAGTGGCAAGGTCTTGCACATATCCTGGAAAATAGTCAAAACAGTCCCCGTAGGATACAACTTTGATTCCGTGCAAAAGCATATCTGCCTGATGCTTAAAGAAATGGTCTTCATTCTCCTTCAGTACAAGCATGTAGTGCTCCAAATCCACCTTATTCGGTACAGAGTAAAGAAAGAGGGCCTGGAATATCTGATCACGAAGGGTTTCTCCACAGCCCACAAACAGAAAAGACTTGGTACGGTATAAGTTCTGGAGGACTTCCTAGAAAAAGCCAATGAAGAAATCAGGTGCTCATCTGAAAGACAGCAAGAGCTTACAACTAACCAAGTCACATGCATGTGCTTTTAAACCACTGACCCCTGACAGGCTGTTCCCAGGGCCACACTGAGGAACATGGAAGGACAGGATCCTCTCCCAACATGGCACTCAGGTCACCCCACAGCAGCAGCCTGTGGCAGCAAAGACCAAAGCTGGGCTGAGCCTGCCTCTCCCCACCTGAGCTGGGGTAACTGGTCTTTGGCCGAGGTGGGTGGCAGTGCGCACGCCCCTTGCAGCAAGGCCAATCCATAACCCACCCCGCCCACTCACCAGGGCAGTCACCCAATTCAAATTTTCTCAAATTAGGTACAACTTTAAATGACTAAAACATAAAATGGGGACATTCGAATGTTTTCAGTTCAGAATTATGCAACACCCTAAAGCTAATGTCTACCTCAATGGGTCATATGTGGGAATTCCTGCAGGGGCTGGGAGGGTGGTCAAGAGGAGACGGTTTTGTGAATGAGGGCAGGAGAGCTGGGGAGGGGATCAGTGACAGGGACTGAGGAGGTGGGATGGGCACAGGGAAAGTAGATTGCGTAGGGTCACTCAGGCAAGCAGCAGACTCATCAATTCAGCTAACCAAATATCTCAGAGAGACTCAATCTCAGCAGGTATTTCCTATAACCAAGTAGTATTAATTGTGCAACTGAAAAGCATCTCCCCAATCACTCATCTTACTCACACCTGCCACAGCATGACACAGGCCCAGGCAGGAGCCCTGAGGAACAGAACACCTGGCCGTATGCTCCTGCGGGAATCCACAAAGACACCAAGTTTCTCAGTGTGTAACAGAAGCACGCTGCCCTCACTTCACTGTGTCCAGGGCATCAAGAAGGCCTCACAGCCAGGAGTGGGGGTGCACACCTGCAGTCCCAGGTTCTTGGGAGACTAAGGCAGAAGGATCCTTGGGCCCAGGAGTTCAAGGCTGCAGTGAGCTTTGATCATGCCACTGAACTTCATCCTGGGCCACAGAGCAAGACCCTGTCTATTTAAGAAGAAGAAGAAAAAAAAGCCCCACAGAGAATGAAGTTTTATTTACTTTTATTTTTTTAGAAATGAGGTATCACTCTGTTGCCCAGGCTGCAGTGCAGTGGTGCAAACCCAGCTCACTGCAGCCTCTCCCTCCTGGACTCCAGTGATCCTCCCACCTTGGCCTGCCAAAGCACTGGGATTACAGGCCTGAGCCACTATGCCAGGACAAGAATGAAGCTTTAAAACTACAGGAAGGAGCTGGGCACAGTGGCTCATGCCTATAATCTCAGCACTTTGGGAGGCCAAAGCGGGTGGATCACAAGGTCAGGAGTTCAAGACCAGCCTGACCAACATGGTGAAACCCCTATCTACTGAAAAATACAAAAATTAGCCAGGCGTGGTAGCACATGCCTATAATCCCAACTACTCAGGAGGCTGAAGGAGGAGAATCACTTGAATCCGGGAGGTGGAGGCTATAGTGAGCCCAGATCACACCACTGCATTCTAGCCTGGGCAACAGAGCAATACTCCAACTCAAAAAATAAATAAATTAATTAATTAAATAAAAATAAAACTACAGGAAGGAGAGTAGAGCATTTCAGACCAGAAGATGTATAGAAGAACAAAGAGAAGTGGGGAACATTCTAGACTGCACAGGGCCCTGTATGTCATGCTGAGGAGTTTCACTGTATACCTGGGCAGGTGAGAACCACAGAATGGCTGGGGCTTTTGGAGAGGGTAAGGTCAGATCTATGCTTTTAAAGGAATCATAGACTCCTTCCTCCAACAAATATTCACTGAGCATCTATTCAACATGGAGGCACCCTGCAGGGCCCAGAGACACAGAGGAGAACAAGAGATGCGGCCCCTCCCTCAGCAGCTGTGTGAAGGACCAACCTGAAGGACACGGTGGCCTGGAGCCTGAGATACCACTCTGACTGCAGCCAAATGGCCAGGGGTCACCACAAATTCCCCAGAGGATGCACCAGTGCTAATTAGGACGGACCATACCATGACTTCCGGGTCCTGAGTGACATCTTTATATCCTGATGGATCCAATACCATCCCACAGGGGTCTGTGTAGAGGCCATGAATGTGAAGAACACCGTACTTGATATGTCCTCTCGCCCACTGAAGGACCTGTCAAAAATCAAGACAAAGAAAAAAATCCTTAAACTATTACAAACAGAAAATATTTAAATTCGATTCATAGTTTTTAAACCGATCTTGGAAAGAATCAGAGAGATGCTTCACTTTAACAGTTACACCTTCAAAACCTAAGAGAAACTCGGCTGTGAGCACTAGTTATTCCCGTCCTATGACAGTACAATTACACCTTTAAAACATGAGAGAAGATTGGTTGTCAGCATCAGTCACGCTGGTCCCATGATAGCAAAAGAGCTTCTTCAGCTGGGCATGGTAGCTCACGTCTATCATCCCAGCTACTCAGGAGGCCAGGACACCAAGACAGGACATCACTCGAGCTCAGGAGTTCGAGACCAGCCTGGGCAACAACGTGAGAACCCCATCTCAGGGGGGAAAAAAAAAAAAAGAACTTATTTAAAGACAGTTACACAGAGAATATCTTTAGCACCTGAGATTACAGCAAACTGTTAGGAGTGATTACTTTAGCTGCGTTAGTTGGATTTTCACTTCTAAGTTATATATTTCTGTATTACTTCTAAACGCCCAGAAAATATCTGTATCACAAATAAATATATCGCACATATATATCACACACACACACACTCATACACACACATATACGTATTGAGAAAAGTATTTATCAAACGGCTAAGCACATTCCTTTCCGTTCAAGATGCAGAACGCAGGACCTTATAAAGACGCCAGCAGGTCAGTGTCCAGTCATCTTCACTGCACAGCCCGCACAGCAGCAGGCAGAGCGGACACAAACACCAAAGCCCTGCTGCCATCACTGGGCACTGAGCCAGCTGGCAGTTCTGTTTGTGAACTGGCGGTTCATTTCCAGAGACACTGACCACAGCAAGCGTCAGCAGTGGGGACCGTGTGGCTCAGACACAGAGGGCAGGTGTCTACCCCATGGCACTGCTGGCAGGAGTGGATGCCCTGTCCGTATGTATACCACACAGGGCAGAAGGGGACCAGGGGCTGCAGCTGAGCCCAGTCCTTACACTGACACTGAGAGATCATCTCTGCGTAATTCAGTTTCTTTGTCCAGAGCAGGGCCAGGGCCTTCTCTCACAAGACAGCCCAGACAACACAGGCAGCAGTGTTAGTTATGAATAACATAAGCAGATGCACAAAGGTCCCAAGCATGTCATAAAAGAAATATCGACAGTCACAACGAGACTATGCTCAACCTTAATAAAAGAAATAAATGTTTAAATTTTTCACCTATCAAATGGACAAAGCGTATTTCACTTTGTTTTTTAATAACACCACGTGTTGGCAAGATACAGGAAGTGGGTACTCCCATACTCAGCCACTGGGAAGGTAACTGGTACTCTTTCTAGAAAACAATTTGGTAATTTACATCATCAGTCTTTAAAACAGTCATACCTTTTGACCATAAAACTCTTCTAGGAATTGATCTTGAAAACAGAGGGACATAAAAGTCTAAGGACTCTATAGTGTTATATCTGTAAAAACATGCTGACAGAATTTGGACATTCATCTTACCCAGATTTCATGCTGAACTGTAATCCCCAGTGCTGGAGGCGTGGCCTGGAGGGACGTGCTTGGATCATGGGGCTGGATCATCCCTCACGGCTTAGTGCCATCTTTATAATAGTGACTTCTTGAGAGATCTGATCATTTAAAGGTGTGTGCCACCTCCCTGCTGCCACCTCCTCTGTGGCCATGTGACACGCCTACTCCCACTTTGCCTTCCACCACTGCTGGAAACTTCCTGAGGCCACCCTGAAGCAGATGCTGCTATGCTTCCTATACAGCCTGTGGAACTGTGAGCCAATTAAAGCTCCTTTCTTTATATATTACCCTGTCTCAGGTATTTTATTTTCTTTTGTTTTGTGAGACACAGTCTCGCCTTGTTGCCCAAGCTGGTGTGCAGTGATCCCGGCTCACTGCAATCTCCACCTCCCAGTTCAAGCGATTCTCCTGCCTCAGCCTCCAGAGTAGCTGGGATTACAGGCATGCACCACCACACCCAGCTAATTTTTGTATTTTTAGTAAAGACAGGGTTTTGCCATGTTGGCTAGGCTGGCCTTGACCTCTTGGACTGAGGGATCCACCCACCTTAGCCTCACAAAGTGCTGGGATTACAGGCATGAGCAACCATGGCCGGCCTCAGGTATTTCTTACACGGCAGTATGAGAATGGCCTGAATTACACTATGAGCTACAATTGTGCCACTGCACTCCAGTCTGAGCAACACGGCAAGACCCTGCCTCTGCAAATAAAAAATAAAAGCAGGAAATATGAAGTCTTGAGATGCACAGAACACTGCCCCATCATTTCCCAGCTGCCCTGGAGAGAGGCCAGCTCAGCCTTTTAATTCCAGCATCTTGTTTTCCTACGGAGCACAGTATTCCAGAGGCGGCCAGTGTGCCACCTCCCATTATTACTTATTTTTAGGAGAAAGGGTCTCTGTCACCCAGGCTGGCTGGAATACAATGGCATGATCATAGCTCATTTCACCCTGGAACTCCTGGGCTCAAGTGATCCTCCCAACCTCGGCCTCCGCAGTAGCTAGGACTGCAGGCAGGCGCCACCACACCTGGTTCCTTTATTATGAATTCACTGCTATCAAGTGAAAGCTGCTCTAACCCACAGAGCTTCCACACGCTCACAGCCCACCCGTGCCCCAGCCCATACCTTGGTCTTGTCCTTCAAGTCCAGAGACTCCATGGGCTTGTTCTGTTGCTGGCCAAAGATCTCCAGCAGGTTGTCGTAGTTGGTGGTCAGGACCATGGTGCCCCTCTCCATCAGGCTGAGGATCGACTGCAGCACCAGAGGGTTCTGGATGTGCTGCTCCAGATTGTCAAACACCTCCATCAGGCAGTCCTGGAAGAAGTTGGGCTTGGTGTCGCCTGTGCGCTACGGAAAGGTGGAATGAAAATTTCAAAAACATCAGCCTCAACAACTACTCAGCAGGTAAGCAGGCCATGTTCTGGGTGCCAGACACACAGCAGCTGGAAACAAAGAAAATGAGGCTTCACAGAATGCACTAAAACTCCAGACCAGGGGACATCACGTGTGTAGCACGCCACCAGTGATGCTGCCATGGGAAAGCACAGCAGAAGCAGGGGCAGGCGCTGTGGGGTGAGGGTGGACAGGACCAGGGCACCAGGGAAGCCTCTCTGAGAAGGGGAAGCCTGAGCAGAGGCCTGAGGAGGTGAGGGCTCCTGGAGAATGTCCTAAGCAGAGGGAAAAGCAAGGGCCGCAGCATGGAGGTCATGGCTCAGGTATGCCCAAGATCAGCCAGAGGTCACTGAGGCAGGAGAGGAGTGAGGGGAAGTGTCAGCAGCAGAACCTGATAACCTGGGCCTTGAAGACCACAGTAAAGACTGGCTTTCCCTGAGAGCTGCGGAGTCCAAGGGGTGTACAAAGCTGTGTGTCTTGATGGCACCTCCAATGAGGCGGGAGGCAGCATTTCTTTTTCCTTTCTTTCTGAGATAGGGTCATGCTTTGTCACTCAGGCTGGAGCACGGTGGTGCCAGGATTGTTCACTGCAGCCTCCAAGTCCTAGGCGCCGGCGGGTTTCCCACCTCAGCCTCCCAAGTGGCCAGGGCTACAGGTGCCACTACCACACCCAGCTCATTCTCTTTCCTTAAAAATTTATTTTTTAATTATTTTATATTATTTTATTTCATCTTATTATTTTATTTTTTGGAGACAGTCTCACTCTGTCACCCAGGGTGGAGTGCAGTGAGTGGCACAGTCATGGCCCACTGCAGTCGTGATCTCCCAGGCTCAAGGGATCCTCCCACCTCAGCCTCCCAAGTAGCTGGGACTACAGGTGCACACCGTAACACCTAGCTAATTTTTAAAAAAGGTTTTTTTTGAGACAGAGCCTTGCTCTGTCGCCCAGGATGGAGTGTCATGGCATGATCTCGGCTCACTGTAACCTCCCCTCCTGGGTTTGAGCAATTCTCCTGCCTCAGCCTCCCAAGTTGCTGGGATTACAGGTATGCATTACCACACCCGGCTAATTTTTGTATTTTTAGTAGAGACGGAGTTTCACCACATTGGCCAGGTTGCTCTCAAACTCCTGACCTCAGCTGATCCACCTGCCTCAGCTTCCCAAAGTACTGGGATTTAGGCCTACCCAGCCTAAAATTTTTAAAATTTTTTTGTAGAGACAAGGTGTTCCTACGTTGCCACAGCTCATCTTGAACTCCTGCCCTCAAGTGATCTGCCCACCTCGGCCTCTGGAAGTGCTGGGATTACAGGCGTGAGCCAGCACACCTGACCAGCAGTGTTGCAGATACTCTGAGAGAAGCCAAAGGGTCAGGACTCAGGCCTGGCCTCCAGAGGCAGCCCCAGTGGTCTCCAGTGGCCTCGACAGAAGCTGCCTCTAAGGGGCCCTGAGAGCCGAAACCTGGCTGGATGGTTCAAGAGAAAAAGGAACTGGTGACAGCAGATCCAACAGCCGTGCCTCAGAGCTTTGCTGGGAGGGGTCACAGAGACAGGGTGGGGGTGGGCCCGGGGGGACCCTGGGTGTCCCCTCTGCCCGGCTCTCAGCCTCACCATCACCCTCTGCCTTGGCACCTGGGCATCAAAATCCCTCCCCTCACCCTCTGTGCCTGCTTGTGTCACTCCGCCAGCACAACAAACCCAAGACTCAAGGGTTCCCACTCATCCCACAGCTCTTCTGACTCTCCCACCCCCCAAAACCCTCCCCGCTGCTCCCAGTGGGTCGTGTCTGCCGTCAGCCAACTCCCACAGCTCCACCCTCTTCTGGCAGTGCTCACCTTCTCCCCCACCTGAGACCTGGCTCTAAGTGTGCCTCTGCACTCCCTGCACCAATGAAGCTGGGGGCTCGGCTCCGGGCTCCCTGCAATCTCTCTAGCTGTGCTTCTGTCATCATTTGGGGTGACTCTCATGTCCACTTGGATGATCCTTCCTGGGATCATGGCCTCCTCCCACCACTCTCCTCCAATGGTCCCGGCCCATCTCAGCCATCCACACATACAGCCACACCCCAGACCCCATCATTACCCAGAACCTGGATCCTTTCCAGAACCTCTGGCCCAGCTTCCCCTGTCCAACCACTCCCCCACAGCTCCCCACCTCTCTAGCACCTTGGTTCCCATGGAAACTTCAAGCCCATTGAGGCCCGTGGGCTATGACCCTATTACCACCAACGGCAGTCACGCGCCGCCCTCTGTCCTGCCTTCCTCCATCAAGCAGCTTACGTCTGTAGCGTCTGTACACCACCCTCTCCCCCAAATACTTCCAAGCCCCTCGCCCTTCTCTGGTATTGCTGGAATTCCTGATGCAACCAACCCTCAATACAGCTGTGTTGACTGGCCTCACTTCAACACCTCCTGATGGAGGCTTTCAAAAACAAGCAGAAGTGAACAGAAGAGGTTCACTTTTGAAACTCAAACACTCATTTTCAAGACAAATGATTCTCACTCTAGCCGGCCTCTTCCCCACATGAACAACAACAAGGGCCCTCCATGCTGCCCAGTGACCCCACTACCTTTCCCAGCCTCTCTTCAACTCCTCCCTTCTTCTTCCTGTGACAGGGTCAGCAAATGTTGTCTATAAGGGCCAGAGAGTAAATATTTCAGGCCTTGTGGGCCATAAAGTCTCTGATGCAACGACTCACCTCTGCCTGGAGGCATGAAAGCAGCCAGACTATACGGAAACAAACACAGGCCCAGGGCCGTACTTTTCCAACCCCTGGCCTCTGATGAGACTCATCCCTCATCAGTAGAACACCCACGTGTGGCAAAGTCACCTAACTAAAAACATTTCCCAAGCTCTGGCAAAGCTAGGTGTAGCCCTATGTGAAAGTCTGGCAGATGAGACGAAACAGGAGTGGTGTGTGTGACTTCGGTGGCAGCCCTGCAGCCCCCGACTTCCCCCCCTCCCCCTCTTCCACGCACTCCCTGAGCAAGCACAGTACAGCTGCCCGCAGAGCGCCAGACGGAAGCTGCCAGCACAGAAGGGCCCTGCCCAACCACCATTTTCTCCCTGGGCTGCCCACGTGGGTCTCTAGGTGGGAATTATGAAAGTGCTCACATGACACCGCATGGCTTCGGGGATCCTTTCACAGCTAGCCTCAACTCTCACACTCTCCTTGGTGATGAATTCACCTTTTTTCCTGCTTCCTCCTCTATGTTCACACCTCCAACATCTCCTCCCATCCTGACTCTCAGATGGTGACTGAGCCTCTTCAGTAAATACAAGAGTGGAAGACAATGACTGCAAAGAGCTCGGGCCACACCATCCAGCATCCCAGCCTTTCTGTCCACACGCCATGGCTGACCTGGGACCACAGTGGCCTGCCGCATACCTCGCCCTGCAGCAGACCCTTCAGCACCGGGCCTTGCTCAGGAACAGCTCCTGCGTCACCAGCTGCTTCTCCTCTCAACTAGATCATCTCCACCGCAGACAAAGAAGCTAGAACCTCTCCCATCTTAAATGTTTTAGGAAGCACTTGTCATCTGAAGAAATGTGGCTGGCCTGCTTAAACCACACATGCCTAAGGGCTATTCCTTCACTGAATATAAAATCACAAAGTTCATACTGAATGCAGCTGACGACCTCCCTAAGACAGTCTCACACGGTCAGGCTCCATTTATCAGGAGCTGCTTCAGGAGCCCCACACTGCACTGTGCCTGGCATCCCTCAATTTTAAAAGATGACTCTCTGATAGACTCAAGAGTTCTGGCTCAATAGCCCAACTCTGCTGAGCACTGAACACAAGACAGGCCTGCAGGAGTTTATCATTAGGTTCACAGGCTCATCCAGCCTGGTGCAGAACCAAGTTGTCCCGAAGAAACCAGAGGTACTTGTCTGACACTTACAGGTGACATCTTCCGGATCAGATCATGGGCAACAACCAACAGGTCGCGATCCTTGGTCACTTTCCTCCGGAACTCGGCAACGTCCCCGGGGTGCAGCACCTCCAGCTGCTCTGCAGCCTCAATGACGGCCTCGATGCAGCTTCTCCACGAGCAAAGGGCAGGGATTCCTGGGGCCACGGCTGCGCTGACGCCAGTCCCGATAACCAAGAGCAGTTCCTGGGGCTGCTTCCGGATGAGGCTTTTTAAAAACTTTCTACTTGAAAACAAGGGAGGGAGAGAATGAAAGTCAAAGTGGAAACTGCAGACACAAAGTGAGTTCAGGCAGGCCTTGTGCTGTGCATGGACATGCGCACACACACGCTCCCCTCTTAACACTCTGGGGACACTGCCTGTGTGTCTTTCTTCATGTATTTATTTTACATGTTCTATCCTGATTCCTTAAAGGATGTGGGAGAGCTATGTCTCATGCATCTTAAGTTGCCCAGTGTTAAGATCATGTCGAATTGATATATATTTGTGAACAAAAAGTTCAGCAATTTTCATTCCTTTGCAGCTGCACACAGCTTATGAAGACACATCATGATGACAAAATGACCCCTGCTTAACAGTGACAGATAAGAAAGTGACCGGCAAAATGCTGGTTTTCTCCAATCCTAACCCATTCTGCAGTAAGTCCCTTTCTTGCGCTTCACTTCACAACAAACACAGCCTGCTGTCCATCTATAGTCAAAGAATTATTTCCTGGGAAGCACGACCCTTCCAGTTTGAGACATGGTCCCTCTAATTACGTGTTGCTGGGTTTGGAGACTGGACTATGGCCGCATCCTTGGACAGAAAGCTGGCTTCTGGAATGTCTCCTACACTGAAGCAAAGACTAGTAAGTGGCCCTCGAGGTCCCCTTGTGCCCCAGTGTTTTCATTTCACTTTCGCCTTTGCAGGTACTGAAGAACAGGTAGGAGTCTCACGGCGGAGGCCACATGGAGTCAGTGGAGCTCCCGGAGGGCACAGTCGCCTTCAATTACCTGGATTTTTGTTCACTTCTATGTGTTGCCTTTTCCACTGAATCCATCTGTGAATTCCAAAGAGAAAAACTTGTCAGAAGTGACTTCTAATTCCTAGGTTAAAATTGGTATTCATCCCCTGGAAGAGAGTTAAGGCTAGAATGAAAATCAAAGGTCCTGGATCTTTATTTAAATTAGAATACCTGCAAAATGTCACACGCAAATGACATACATCCAAAATGTGTCCTAAACCACCATTCCTCATCCCATGTGACTCATCAGGCTAGTTAGACTCTGGCCTGTTCTGCATGGGACAGCACAGAAGGAAAACACACATGCAGGGGCACAGACGGAGGAGGGGGATCCGTGGGCTCCATGCTGGGGGTTTTGAGGTCTCTTCCCACACCGCTCTAGAAGAACTTCCAGTGCACAGGAACACAAACGGCTTATCACAGGAGCAAAACACAGCAAGCGGCACAAAAAAGTGAAGTCAGAGGTGGTTTTTCACAGGAAGCCAACTAGCACTCTGTGAGGTGCAGAGCACTGGGCTGGGGTATGGCCCTTCTCGGCACCAGCACTGGCTCCAAACACCAGTCCTCCCCTTGGCCATACTGAAATCCAGTCTAAAGAAGTCATCCAAGCAAAAAGCCAATTCTTACCTTACATAAAATAGGAATCCCAAACCATCTAGGTCTCTATTACCAAGCTATCTCCAGATTCTTTAATTTTTCCAAAATCAGACCAGGCGTGGTGGTTCATGCTTGTAATCCCAGCATTTTGGGAGGCCAAGGCGGATTGCTTGAGCTCAGGCATTCCAGACCAGCCTGGGCAATACAGCAAGATCCTGTGTCTATATTTAAAAAAAAAAAAAAAAAACTTGCCGGGCATGGTGGTACATGCCTATAGTCCCAGCTACTATGAGGGCTGAGGTCGGAGGATCACCTGAGCCTGGGAAGTTGTAATGAGCCGTGGCCATGCCATTCCAACTCCACTCTAGCCTGTGCAACGGAGTGACTAGTTTCAAAAATAAAAAATAAAAATTTTCTAAAATCACATTTCCCTCCAATTCTAGAAATAATATCTATTGTAAGCAAGGAAAAATACAGAAAAATAAGGTTTTCCCTACAATTCTATGATCTTTCAGCAATAACTGTTAACATTTATATATTCCTTCTACTCTCTTTTAAAAGTGTTTACACCAGAGGCTGAGGCAAGAGAATCACTTGAATCAGGAGGTGAAGGTTGCAACTCAATGAGATTGCACCACTGCACTCCAGCCTAGGCAACAGAGCAAGACTCCGTCTCAAATATATATCAATACGTAAACAAACAAATGTGTTGACGTAATTTGAGAACACTGCATATCCTACTTTTTCATGCATTTAAATACATTTTTTTTTTTTTTT